AGTTAGTTTACATGCTCTTTTAATAGTTTCAACTTCAGTAATTAAGAGTGATAATACAAGTAAAGATTTTGTCTCCCCATTGATCATTAACACTTCATGATTCCTTGTTATAACTACGTAAGTCCCTTCCTCAATTCTCTCAGCATATGTCCCGTCACAATTGAGTTTTATCCACTGTTGTGGTGGAGGTTTCCATTCCTACTCTTCAGGATTTTTGCAGCTTTTTAGCTCTTTAGTACCATTCTTGTGCGGAGACCCTTCGAGGCTTCGACTACCATAATTGCTTAGCTGAGAAACCCTTTAACTTTGGGTAGTCTATCTTGATATAACTATTCATCATGGGCCTTCCATATAAACCAACATATATAACATCTCCAACTCATTTTTTATTTTTTATTTTTTTTATTATTTTAATTAGCTAAACATAAAAAATTCTCTCCAACTCACTCTCTATTCCACTCTTTATTTCTTAGTTAACCCAAATGGCTCACCAAATGTGGTGAGTCATTTGAGCTCTCAAAATTTTCTATCTACCTCTTTTTTTCTATCTCTCTTTATATATATGTTTTACATCTTTTAAATTATTGGAAGTTAGTAAAAGATTGGTGTATTAGTTAGTTAAAATAGAGAGTGTGATTAAAATAAATTTATAAAAGTGATTAGTTAAATAGTGAATGTAATATTTAAATATATTTTGATTAGTTATTTTAAAGAGATGGGTTGAAGATGCTCTAAGTCAATAAAAATTTACCCTCATTATATGTTAAACCTTTGTCCCTTTTTTTTTCTGGAGTTGGTCCCTTAGCCAATTTTCACCCCTATTCATTTTGTACTAAAGCAGTTTACGTTTTAATAGTTACCATTTTACTTACTCTCGTATTCGCAGGCTTTTAGGGAATGAAGTATTATCAAGCACACCCTCCACTATTTTGACTGAAAAAGTCCATTATTACTTAGCTCTGGTCCAAAAATTCATGCTCAAGTATGCTAATCAATAGATCTCACTTTGACTTGAATCTCATTTGAATGTGTATTTGATTACTTTGATATTTATTATTATTTTAAACGATAATATAAATTGAGTTTTGATCTTCTTAAGAGATATAGATTTAGATGTCAATATTGGAGTCGATGATTGACAATTAAAATTTTAACTATGTATATATTTGCTTAAATTCAACCTAATTTAACTAAAACCCTTTCTTTTTTAGGGAAAAAAATTAGAGGCCCTTCTATTTTTGGTTAAAAACCTTTTTTCTTTTCCTTGACTAATATTATCTTTCTTTTTTTAACCATCGATTACTTATAGATATATTAGGTTGGCCAAAGGAGAATAAGTTGGAGGGAAATTCTTCTCCATTTCTCTCTCATATTTTTTTCCATGGAAACTCTTTCTTCCCCAAAGAAAACCAACGAGCATGCAAGGCATGGGTATGGGTTAGAGAGTGTAGGTGGGGAGTTAAAAGAGGTTGACACACGTGTCTATGTCAAGTGTAATCGAAGGGAGTAAGTAAGATAAGTGAATGGGATGGAAGGAACTCGAGCAGCCTGTTAATGGAGGGACAAACCAGTTGGGCAGAGGGTAAGTGAAAAATACTCTCACCAGCCAGGAAAATAATCCTCTGCAGTGAGCAAGTAATGTGGATATTTATAGCACAGTATTCGGGTAGGTTGAGCTGTCTAAAGAGCTGCCCCGCCGCAACCCCCTATTACTCGCGCTAACCCACAACTGTCTCGACCGCGATGATACCAATAACTATTAACGGCGAGTTATACGTTCCAACATTAACTAGGCAGATGTGACGTTTCCTCAAACACAACCTAAATATGGCCCTAAAGAATGTGTAACAGTTAAGGCGAGGGCGGGTTCCCAAGGTCCACTACCGCGACTGGTCATCATGGGACCATGACCTCGAGAGGGTAATGTCCGCGATGGCCCCAGTGCGCTCCTACCTGAGGTCATTATTTCCCTCTCTAAACCCTTCCTCTAGACCTTTGTCGAGGTGACCGATAGAAGAAACTTATATAGTTTTGATCCTTCAGCCACCAATCCACGTGTCTTATCATCCCATATGCTAATCCGGACCAATAACCCCAGTTACCTTAGGAGTCTCTCTGAATTCCAGTCAAAGTGCATCCCAACAAGTAGTGAACCATACACTAGGAGGCCTGATTGAGCAGACTAAACCTTCGAGACTCTACCCCAAGCCGAGGTTGACAATCATGCTCATCCATCCCCATTGCTCAATTTTTCCTTGAGGAGGGTTGTACTTTCATATCCCTAGGTGGGGATATCTCCTCTTAGTTCAGTGGCTCGATCGAGCAATGGTGTCCAACAGGTTGAGGATACCACTCCTGCAGTGGGGAGACAAGTTTCGTCGTGGTTGCCCCATACTTTTGCGATACCATTTCCACAAGGGGGCGTCGCAACCAGGGGCGTTGCGCCCAAGAATGCTGCACTTGTTATTGTTGTCTATACCAGTCCAGTTGAATTCTGTCAGGCCTCATTTCTATGTCAACTGATAATCGTTGTCACTTGTTCTGTTATAGTGGAGACACGTGTTTTTTAAGTTTTTCGGATACTACATTTGCCCCTTGCACGCGCCAGGTTGCGGGAAGCGTCCTACGCGCGCACACCATTATCCGTCCGCACTTGTCGTTTGACTCTAACTATCTGACCATTGTGTCGATAAATTTTTTTTATTATTTATTATTTATTTATTTATTTATTTTTATTTTTTTTTGTATCCTTGTACCACTGCGGATAAGAAACATTGACTATTATTAAGCCTCGAAAACCACCAATAAAATAACTCATTATTTCTTTCGAAATTCTTGACCTTCAACCGTCTCAAAAAATCATAGTGAATGCGTACCTTAAATAGAACCCCAACCATTAGTTATCGCAACTATTTTTTCCAATTGCTTGTCGAAATATTATAATACTTCCATAAAATGGTGGGCCACCACTCTTTTGATATGTATATATATATATGTATAGATATATATATATTTGTGATTTTCAAGTGAAACATGTGGGCCCATTTTCCATTTAATGCTTCATTCTCCACATTTCCGTAACTCTTTAAAAAAGAATGCATCAAAGCTTGTTCCAAACGGTGAGCCCCACGATCTATTTAAATAAAACTTGGCTTTGACTTTTCTCTTGACAAATTGAGTCTTTCCATATTGTGTTGCCCTTGTCTTCTTGCTTGGACAACACGATTTGTTCACCACTCAGTACTACTGCTAGTGACCGGCGTCTGACATGGGAATGACATTGACATTGACATTGCATCTTCTTAATTATAATCTGTTTTTATGTACTCCATTTATTAAAATTGACTGGATGTCTAACTTGGACAACCCACTGGTCATTGACAGCAACAGTTAATGCGTAGGGATGCTGACAGCTGTCATTTCTTTTGATTAATGTGACCAGTCATCGTGACTATTTCGTCTCCCTAGCTTCTTATCGACTTCATAACCATCCAGCCCACCTTGAATACTGCAACCTATTTAATTTCTATGCATAAGCCTCCACATTTTTTTTTGGCCTATAAATTAAAGATTGCATTCACTTCTCATCTTTTATTCGTCCTTCTCATTTTTCTCACCGAACCTTGGCACATTGTCTGACTTTCTTGTAAGTGTTGACACCTTGGTTTTTTTTTTAAATATCATATCCTTACATTTTTTTTCTTCCAAAACTCTTTTTTTTTTTTTTCAAGCATTTCATTTCCCACATCACTCATATTTTTTTTAGTTTCTCATGACCGATCATCGTCATATTCGCGCGGGTCCAGTACCTCCGTTTGAGGAATGATATTTTGCCCCTTTTCTCGGTGCTGTGTTGATCAATTTTTCGAGTATCTTCGTAGCTATGTGCCTGAGGGAGAGGAGTCGGTTTATCCATTATTTTTAGATCCCCTACGCATTTTTATAAGGTCACTTGTATCGATCCCGAGTTTGTGTTTAGGATACCACTGGAGAGGGTAGACTATCCCTATTCTTTTATTGACTTTGAGATCTTATCTACTCCTTTTGTCGGTTGGCGCAGGTGGTCTGACTACATTCTTGCAGATGGGACATTTCGCAAAACTCTGGAGTTTGCCGGTATTTTTTCTACTATAAAGTTGTGCCGTCAGATTAGTGTTAATTGACGTAATGCCAGTCTATTTGCTTTGATTTCTCAATGGTGCCATGAGACTCATACCTTCGTCACCGTTTGGGGTGAATTTACCCCCACTTTGGAGGATGTCTTGGTACTGATGCAACTGCCCATTTTTGGAGATTTCATTTATCCCTTCGGAGATTCCACTCATACTGAGGCAACCACAGTTTCTTACTTGTCTGACTATTTTGCGACTTCCTTCATTTTTTGGTGTTGGAGGTAGTGCCAGCGAGCACAAGTGTACTTATACATTTTGGGTGAGATTCTTTTTTAAGGACATCAAGCCTGCAAAGGGCAAATGTTTTGAGCGTGTTGACCAAGATGACCCTAGATCTCTAAGTGAGCATGTCAATTGATCTCAATTTGACTTGAATCTCATTTGAATGTGTATTTTATTATTTTGATATTTATTATTATTTTAAACGATAATATAAATTGAGTTTTGATCTTCTTAACAGATATAGATCTAGATGTCAATATTGGAGTCGATGATTGACAATTAAAATTTTAACTATGTATATATTTGCTTAAATTCAACCTAATTTAATTAAAACTTTTTCTTTTTTAGGGAAAAAAATTAGAAGCCCTTCTATTTTTGGTTAAAAACTTTTTTTTTTTTCTTGACTAATATTATCTTTCTTTTTTTAACCATCGATTACTTATAGATATATTAGGTTGGTCAAAGGAGAATAAGTTGGTGGGAAATTCTTCTCCATTTCTCTCTCATATTTTCATCCACGGAAACTCTTTCTTCCCCAAAGAAAACCAACGAGCATGCAGGGCATGGGTATGGGTTAGAGAGAAAATAAAAGCAAGCACAACAACAATGTCGATGGATTTGCATTTGGATTTGCAAGATTTAAATCCATCGACCTCTAACCTTTACCCAAACATCCCTAGTCCGAGGCCTAGCCCAAGGCCAACATCGTCCCAACATGCTTCGAACCATCCATCACCCACCACACCCACCGCCCCATTCCCATTGTTTGGGAGCCCTAATACCACCATCTCATCCACCGCCGCCGTGTCTCCTCCCCCCTTCAAAGGATCCTTCCACCGGCGAGCCCTCTCTGAGGTCACTTTCAGAATTCATGAAGATGTGGTTGACCCATTCATTGATTTTCCCCCTATGAGCAATGAGGATATTGGGTTCGAGGAGGATTATTTTTCGACCTACATTGATGTCAAAAAGCTTAGTGAAGGTGGGTCAGTTGATGGAGGTGGTGAGGGAGAAGAGAACGACAGTGGTGGTGGAAATGGAAATGGCAACAACGGTGGCAGTGGTGGTGGCGGGGAGGCAGAGAAGGATGAGGAGGAAAAGAATGCGAGACAGCCTCGTCGTCGGCATAGGGTTTCGATGGATTGTGAGATGGGGGAGTCTAAGAAGGCTATGCCTCCAGATAGGTTGGCTGAGCTTTGGGTTATTGATCCTAAGCGCGCTAAGAGGTATTGCTTCATTGATTGATAAAATTATCGTTCACATGACGGTAACCTTCAAAGTTGTCATATCGATTATTGTATAGTTAATCAAATTCTGTGATTGTTAATGTATGATACATTGTTCTGAATCATTTGTCAGACGTGGAGACAAAGAATTACTCCGTACTCGCATTTGCATTTCTGTAATACTCATTGTCGCATGTCGAATGAATTTTGAGGTTTATGTCGTATGTTGGCTGTTAAATTCAGGATTGTGGCAAATCGTCAGTCCGCGGCACGCTCTAAAGAGAGGAGGGCTCGCTACATTCTAAGACTTGAGCAAAAAGTTCAGTCCCTTCAAAGAGAAGCGATCTCTCTTGCTACACAACTAACATTATATCAGGTTTGTCTTGAGGGAACTTTATTGACATTATCAAAACCTCACGCTAACATGGTACCCTGTGCCAAACATAGGAAATCCGCATATAACCATTTTCCTGAATGCTTAAACCTAGCTAAGGTTTTTTCCCTCACTCATAATGCTTTTTACCACCATTACTGGTTGTCAAATCTGATCATTCGAGATAAAGGAACCTTTTATAATGTTATATCATTAGGGTATGATCCATAAACCTGCTAGTTCTTTTTATGAGGCACAAACGGGAGAATTTATTTGGGAAGCAGAAGAACTGCTGAAACATATCTATAGACATCTTATTGTATCGGTTTGAGACAGTCAATTGCTCCGCTTCCCAATTCTTTTCAATGATGTACTGTTGAGTTTTTGTTGGACTGTACACAAGAATGTCTTTCTTTACCATTTTAACCTGCTACTTTTGGTCGTGTCTCGACTTCTATCAGTTCCCTCCATGTGGACCATATCACCACTCATTTCTGCACATCTCTCTGTCTTTCATTGTATTTGGGCAAACCATGCTAGCCATTTATTTCTGTGTCTTAATATCCAAACAGTGTTATTTCCACTTTATTCCAGACGCATCTATTGCTAACATCCAGTTAGGCATTATTTGCAACCTAGTAATATTTTCCTCTAGTGTCACTCCACTTGAAAATTATTTTGATTTGGTGTGTCAAAAAGTTTGCTTTCATGGTAAATCAAAAATTTGATGACCTCTCCTTTTTTGCATTTCTTTGTCTTTTCCCACTATGTTGTTCTAATTAGATGTTCTTAGGCTGCTTCTGCAAGTTTATGATAAATTACATCTATATGTTGATTTGTAATCCTTTCTTTCATAATTTGCCTACATGCACAAGTGGGTGCTACATACTGCACATTCTGGTACTTGATAAAATATTGATGTATGGTCTCATCTGCTTTGTTTTGTCATTTAGAGAGACACAACAAGTCTGACTGCTGAAAACACAGAGCTCAAGCTTCGACTACAGTCCATGGAACATCAAGCTCAGTTGCGCTATGGTAGGTTCCATGTAAATTGCTACTATTGTTACTACTTAGCAGAAAAATGTTTCCTCTTCTCATGCATCTATCCAAAATATCTATGCTTGTAAAGTAGTTATTGAGTCTTTTATTCCAATTAGTCAAGTGGGTGCAACTGGATTTTAAATTTTAATCATGATTGGAACCTGTTAGTGAAAACTGCTACAGTTATTTAGATGGAAAAATACATTGGGACATTCATGTTTTCCATCTAGTCATATTAGCTTGAACGACTGACATTTGTTCATTGAAAATGCAGTTTGTTAAGATCCTCGCATGCTTGAGATTTGCATGCTATCATAGATATGAAAAGCTTCTACTTCTCATACATCTGTTTAATTGTGACTCAAAACTCCATCCATATATTGGAATTAGAGCCTGGTAGCAAGGCCACTTCTCCAACAATGTAGATAGCTTGATTCCATTAAGTTCATAATATCATATTTTCTGGCATGGTAAATTATAGTGCCTGGGATTGATATATAGCCTAATAATTGATCCTTGGAGTGCAATTGCTTTTAAGTTCTAAGGTCTTTTGACCAATCAGAACTACCTTGATACACATGCACAAAATCAATCATCTTCAGATTGAGTCTTTTTCTGTGTCCTATGTTTAGTGCCAGGATATGTGGATTTTTAATTCCTAACAACACACATGCCTTGGTGATTTCTCATAGCTTTGAATGAGCAATTGAAGGAAGAAGTTGGAAGGCTCAAATTTGCCACTGGGGAAAAAATGACCCATTCAGAGTCACTGAATGCTGAATTACGCCACATTCTCTACAGCCCATCAAGCTCACAATCAGCCTATCTTCAACTTCCTCCGTCACCAGTATCTACTAGCCATCAGAACAGGCTGTTGCCACCATCCCAAGGCCCACAACCGAGCATGTCACCCTGCCATTTGCATCCTGGAAGTCCCCGGACTCATTCTAAACTTTTGCACAACCATTTTGGTCGCTTTCAAGGGCTTGATATCTATAACAGAGGATATATTGAAAAGGCTCAATGTCTAGCAATCTCTCCATCAACTGTATGTGCATCTACCAGTGAAAGTAGTAGCACCACGTATTAACACCAACTAGCCGATGACTTTCTGGCCTTTTGATGAAAATCCTAAGGTGCCATCGTGATCGGATAAGATACTAATAATTCGAATGGTTCTTTGTCCCAATTACATTTTTTCTTGATGTATATACTGCATTATTTAATTCTTTGGGTTTCTATAAAAGTGGTGTTTCCTCGTGGTACAGTAATGTTTTCAAATCTCTCCTGTACATTTTGGAATTTATTTCAGTCGAGGTACATGTGTGCAATAAAGCGCGGGAATAATAAGTTGCTGATGGAAAGATGTTCATCTTCGAATATTGTTTGTTTACTTTATAATTTCTGATCCATACACAATGCCAATGTGTCCCTTTTTTCTCTCTTTGCTATCGACAGTTACCGTAACTATAGCGTTCCTTTGTCTCTAACTTAAGTATTCGAGAGAAGTGTTTTAATCTGTTTACCACCTTCCAACCCATTTAATAATCGATATATAAAATCTATAAGAAAATTGGCCTACATTTTTTTAAAATGTTGGATGGTAGAATTTGGTTCATGTTTTGATTTATGAATTTTATTTTTGTGAATATGTGATGGAATAGGAATTTGTTGCACTATTATTTTTTTTCTCCAAATTATGCTTACTATTCAATCAAGCTATTGGTATTGAAAATGGTGGCGAGTTAATAAGTGTAAAGTGTAAATGTGAAAAGACCATAGAATAATTTATTTATAATTCATGCAACCTGTTTAATAAACGAGTTGTGTTAGGATTTGATATTTTGACTTATTTAAATAAACAAAACTTGCACCAATGGATTTTTTTTTTATTCAGACCTATTAAGACCTGTCACGAATTCAATTCACCCAACGTGATTGCCAAATTTAATCCTCTTGTGGTATAGGCAAGTCACAACTTAGTTATTACATTACATAACAATATTTTTATTCATTTATATTAGTTTTTGGTATGAGATAACATTATAGAATCGTTTAAATGTCGTATTAAAAAAAAGGGACTATACTAGAGGATTTAGGATAATCTTGGATAGATGGATAAAATTTAAGATTAAATAGGGGATAAAGATAATATCAATTCTAGTCAAGTGCTTGTTAAGTACGATATTAAGAGTTGAATAATAAGTATTAAGTCCAAAATAATATTTGGTTATGTAATTTATTCAATGGTATTAAATGAGTGGACTAAAATGCCCTCAATCATCCCCAAATTGATCTCTTATAGTGATCAAATATTTCGTAAGACTATAAAGCTATGTAAATATATATGAATATTTTTAAATAATATTAAAATTAAACAAACATGCTTTAATTATGTAATTGTATATTTTGAATATATGCATTTGTTTATTATTAATGTCGTTATTTACCATTATCCATGTGAATGACGAATGATGTGAAATTTTTACATGTTGTCCATATGAGGGGGATGTCTGATCATTGTAAAAAAGTTAAAAACAATTTTTATTAAAATAAATGAGAAGGAATGATCATATGAATTTATCTTATATTTAGGGTAATATTGTAAAATAACGATATAATACACTTAGAGTGTATTATAATATCATCTCTCTTGGTGATATTAAAATAACTTAATAGTATAGATATATCATATTAGAATTATCTGTATGAAATATTTATTTAGCTAATTTTCATATGTAATACGAAGTGGTTTCTTATATCCAAATGCAATATAAATCCGTATTAAAGAGTTTTAATTTAATATGACTCTTTAATACACTTTATAATACATCGATCAAACCACCCCTATATGTCACTTGGTATATTCATAAGAGATGGAGAACAAGCACTCATCTAATTTACTACTAATTTTAAAACTTCTCATTATTTATCATCTTTTAATTTTTGCAAATTCCATAATACCTTCAATTTTTTTTTAAAAATTGCATATGTATATGTTCATTCTTTATGTTTGAAACATAATAAATGGAGATAGAAAAAGATAAGATGAAAATATAAATTTCGTGTATTACCCAAGACAGTTGACAGCCGCTAGTATTATTATTACTTACTTCCTTGAAAGGAATTCCATGGTTTAGCTGGAAAAATGTTTCTTCAAGAATTTAGTTGAATAAATATATTAATTAAATTTGCATACATAATAGGTGGGTTACAACTTATAATGTTTTAGATAGTGATGTCATAAAAAAACTATGAAAATTAAAAGTCACGTGGGTATCGCGTGAATTATAATGTCAGCACGTGGCGTACAGTCATTGGCCTTCTATACCAGGTGCACCGACTCACAGGGCCAATACAGCGTCCGATCTTTGGTCTTTATAAAAGAGAGAGAGATGAACAGTACACCCTGCCCTAATGAGAATTACTCTGAGAAGACCTGAGAAAGACTAAGATAGAGACCATAAAGATTTCGTCTTTCTTTCTCTCTAAAGAATGGCGCTCGGCGGTTGCACTCTTTCGTCGGACAATATAGTGATAAAGTCGCCGACCGACTGTCGATTGTACAGGTATATACAACTTCGGAATGGCCTCTGTGCTTTGCTCGTCCACGATCCTGAGATTTACTCTGATGGACCCCTTGAGCCCTCAAAAATTGCTGAAAAAGGCGAGGAAGAAGAAGACGAAGAAGAAGAGTATGAAGATGAAGAAGACGAAGATAGTGAAGAAGACGACGATCAGGAAGAGGAAGATGATCAAGATGAGGGGAATGAATCAAAAGAAAAGATAAAGACTCGTGCTTCTGAGAAGAAGGTAAGTGTAGTGTTTTTATAAAAGAAAAATAAGCGGTAAATAATTCTTTTTGAGTAGTAGTACATAAGCCTATATGATGCCATGTAATTGTACATTGATCCGGGATGTAGGATTCTGAAATTAATTGAGAGTTGTAATTGGAATTTGAATTCGGATAAGTTTTTGTGTTGTATCGATCTGTGTTGGGGATGATGCTTTTGATCTTTTGGATTTATGTGGGTTATGATTTAGTGATTGAAATTAGGATACAATCAGAGTGCTTTTGTGTTCTTTTGGTTTTGACAGGCCGCAGCTGCAATGTGTGTTGGAATGGGAAGCTTTTCTGACCCTTTTGAGGCACAGGGTCTCGCACATTTCCTAGGTTTGCTCCTTCAGCTGTATCCGTATACAACCATAAATTTGATGCATATTTAATGTATTCAAGCACAAGCATGTATAAACTTGTTTATATTAAACCAGATGACACCATTTAGACAGATGATTGTTTTTCAAGTTGGATTTATTAGAAGGCTATTGGAGTTCTGACAAAAATGATTTTGGAACAATCTGAGACATGAAAGATACGAAGTAGAGCTAAAAAATTTTTTTATCCAACCCAATGATAAAGATTGTGAAGCTTACAAACTTGTGGCTATATTTTGAGTGGACTAATAGTTGAATGGGTGCATAAATTCTGAAATGAAGTAGTTTTTGTAAAGAGCAATGCTATTGGGACCTAATTTGCAGACCTAATTCACTATGACCATTGGATTGACTGTGGGGCTCATCAAATATTAGAACTTGGTATTGATCCAATGATTATGCTGAAACCAAATCATTATGTCAGTAAATTTGTCAAATTTTTAGGTCCAAATAGCATTATTCTTTTTGTAAAGCTTGTCTGGCCATAGCGGTTATAAAGCAACATAGGCTATACTTAATGGTGAATTTTAAGACGATGCGTTATTCACGATATATTTTTAAGGTGTCAATTACAAAGAGCTATTGTGAACTCTTGGTGCTGTGGTAAATGCTTGGCTTCTAATCATGAGATTATGAATTGGCAGAGTGAACATTATTTGATGCCCTTTGTTCTTCCCAAAGGGGTAGGGGAGGGTGCGAGAGAGTGTGAGGGCCTCAGTATCTTTTATATGCATATACGTAAACCGGACTTACAATCAATATCTTCTTGCAGAACACATGCTTTTCATGGGGAGTACCCTTTTTCCAGATGAAAATGAGGTCTGTTGGTCTGCTTTCTTTCTATGAATAATTTGGTTGGAGATACTTATAATTTGTGGCACCTTTTAGAATAATTATTCCTCATTAAAAAAGTGGAAGATATTATAAGATCACTTGGTCAAGTGGACTGAGTTGTTATTGATATCTTCCCATAAAAAAGGATGTAGTGAGTTTTTATAGGTATCAAGCTAATGTGTATTTGACCTCCCAATTTGACATTTTTCTTTGCTAGTATGATAGTTATTTGTCCAAGCATGGAGGTTCATCCAATGCATACACCGAAACTGAGCATACCTGCTACCATTTTGAAGTTAAACGGGAGTTTCTCATGGGTGCCTTGAGAAGGTAAACTTACAGAACTTGCAGGTTTCTGACATTGATATATGGAGCACTTTAGTGACTACGGAATTATCTTAATTAGGTTGTTGATTCAAGGTTGAGTTTCTTATTGCTTCTGTTTACATTGGACTTAGTCTTGTTCCTGTTCCACAAATCATGCTTGTTGTAGGGATACTGAAAATGTTCTACAAAGTTAGAATGGAGATGTCTATCAAATGAACTGTATGTTGGTGCCATGAAAATTAATTATCATGTTTTTTCATATTTTCTTGCTTATTATGTTTGGGTTTTTTTCCCTTTTTTCCACGAGATCTATAGGAAACTTTGGGTGGGAATGGTGATTAATATGATGTCTTTGCTTCATTTTTAGCACTTGTTGTTTTAATGGAAGACAGTATATGAAAATAAGGGACAATGATCGGCTTACAATCAACTCACGGTATTTCTTCATCTGATGGTTTAGATAAACTTCTCTACATTAAATTATTTGTGAAATGTTATTAAATTAAAATAGAGAACTTAGTTATCTTTTCAAATTACTTGTGATGCACCTTAATTTTGTGTGATTGGAAACCAAGTTTTGCATAAATCAAGAGGAAAAGCTTTCTCAACTTTAAAAAAAAAAAAAAAAACAAATGGATGAAAGATAGGGTTGAGATTGAGAATAGTTTGACCATGGTTGTGGTTGGTCTAGCCATAACATGGTGTTGGTGATGC